TTGCATTTATTCAGTTGTATGTAATGTACTTTAAACTCGTATTTGCGTGTTAAGAATCCATATTGAAATATTGGTAAGGTTATAATCTTTCATTTAAAGATACATTATGGGAGATATTTATAGAGAGTTGGCCATTCTTGCTATAACAGTTCAAAAGTAGATGATGAAAGAAGAATATATTGAAAAATTCAGTCAAATTACTTTATTCTGAACATAGTTATCATCGTTGTAATATTTGCCTAGAAATGGTAGCGAAACGGTCTTCACCTTCACTGAACGTTTGATTGACAGGCGTTAACTCCACCTACATATCTCGATTATCAAGTAAAGTTTTCAATGGCATACGGAAACGCTTTACAGCGCCCTCGCTAAGTACACTCTATCTTTTAGCCTCGATCTAACTGACGTATTTTCATCAGGTCACCCCTTATCTGATTTAATCAATTAGTGAAATCCTATTTCAATCCGAGCTGTAGCCGAGCCATCCGTGGGTCTACAGAGTTGATTTTGGTCTTGTTGTTTAAATAAAGATCTAATTTATAATTTCTATAACATCTGAAGCCTAAATTAAGACTTGCAATAATCAGATTTAGCTCTTGCATAATGCATGTTTAAAGGGCCATAGAAAGAAATTGACAACTATAATCTATACTTTACCACTAAATAAAACCGATTTGTTTTAAAGATACGGGTTTTATAGTTTTAATATCGTATCTCCTTAACATTATATAACATGTTTATAATCTTTAGATTCTCCTATATCGTCTACTTGAGATATTCCGACGGCTCCCGGGATAATATTCTTTTGGTATTTTATAATAATGGAAAATATTTCTGTTACCTTCCCATGGGTTCTGCTTTTTACAAATAATTTATACATAATCCCTTTAATAATAGTCAAGGAGAAACTACTTAATGTTTTTAATTTTGCTATACTTATTCTGTCACCCTGGCCTATTATATCGCATTCCAATTGCCAAGGGATCTTTTACGTGCACGCCAATGTATACACGCCACCTCTGTTTTTCGTCCTATCCGAACGACTAGACAGATATCCTTGTCAGGCCCGCCTTCCTGCACGGAAACCGCACCGGAAAATCTCGATTAACTTTCTCGGCCCACTCTGGGAGCGAACCCGTGACCTCCAGTAGGACATTAAATCCCATTTCATTTCATTTTCATATTTTCTGCACCAGTCGTACTATCGAAGATAGGCATACGGTAAGCAGAGTGATATGGACCGTGGTATTTCTTCATCTAAATTCAACTGTGAAGGATTATTTTATGTGGGCGCCAATGTTTACACAGGAGCTTGATTTTTGTCCCATCTACACAACTAGACACTGTTCTTTGCCGGGGGGGGGGGGGCGAATGGTTAGCACGTGCGCGCTGCGCTGTATCATACGGTCTGTCATTGAGTCAACTGGCGGGGTTTCGATTCCTCGGTTATACGTGACAAGGAGTAGGGTCGCCTGTCCAACCTCGTGGGTTTTCTCCGGGTCCTTCGGTTTCCTCCCACTGCTAAAGACCCCTACGCGCAAGCGAATTATTGAAATAAAATTAAACCATTTGTTAGTCCCGATATGACCTAGTTTGTGTCGAGTGGACGTTAAACCCCATTTCTCTCTCTCTCTCCCTCTCTCCTATTTAGTGTAAATGGGTATTAAAAATGACTAAAAGCCAGCATTCTCTCCGAAGCAGTAACGTCTTATGTAAACAATGCACGCGCCATTCAGCCAGTGATTGGCGCCACGTGCTGTGACGGCACGTGTTAAGGCAGTCATCTTTGACAGAGATATTACTACTAGACTCGTAATTCTCTGTGAAACAGATTGATTGTTACTTTGCAATTGTGATCACATTTCTATTTAAATAAGGTAATAGTATTAAATATATTATCATTTATTTGTTTTAAATCGTATTTAACTACGCTGCAAAATCCCGGAGAACTTTCTTGACCAACACCAGGATCGATGTAATAAACATAGTTTTGAGTGGAATATGACCGACAATTTTACGCGACATTACGACATTTTTAATGTCGTGGTGTCGGGTGAAAATGTCGTATTGTCGTTTTAAAATGTCGTGATGTCGGGTTAAGATATCGTGATGTCGGGTTGTCTTCTTACGAAGACAACATCACGACATGATACCAATCGGCCACCATAATGCCGTCATGCCCGGTTCCTGGTCCATATATAGTACGCTCGTACTTTTCATGACTTAATCCACGCTAAAATGTAATCAAACTGAATTTTTAAACATTTACTTAAAGATACATTATGGGAGATAAGATAAAGAGATGGCAGTTCTCGCTATAATAGTTAAAAACTATATGGTGTAACGGAAATCTGCTGAAAATTTCAGTCAAATTGATCCACTATGAGCCGAGAAAAAAGCAGGTGAAATTTTTGCATAGTCTCGGTCATCATTACTAAAATCATTTTATAAACAGCATAGTCTCGATTATCCACTTTTTCTGATTTAATTATCAACGGCCGTTAGCGGCATATAGGAATCTAATCCAGCCAACATCGATGGCTAGCCTTGACATCGAGAGTTTATTATGGTCGTGATAAGTTAATTAATGTCTAATTGATAATTTAGATAACATTTCAGGCCTAAAGAAAGACTTGTAATAAGCAGATTTTGCTCTTGCATAATGCATGTTTAAGAAATGAACGCAAATATTATAGGTGGCGTTGGCTTATCTTGGTGATATTTTATATATTTTCTGCGGGGGATAACGAATGTTGACAAATTTTCAATCCATCATATCTTTGTAATTGGACCATTGTTTTTTTTAAAACGGTATTCCCTTTAGAGACCCAACTTTCACCATACTGTTAAAGTGGCGACTTTATAGGGAAAATTCTCTCAATTCCAAAAATAGTGTCAATCGAGTGAAAATGAGAATTTCGGAGTACAACTGCATAAGATATATCTCAACCAATCATGACAGCTGAAACATCACCCTCCACACAAGTCTCGCTATCCAGCATTCGACTGTGTCGTCAGCTGACGCTCTACACTGGTTGACCTAGAGGTCATTGGTCACGTGATTAACTACATGATGAAAATCGCATCTGTCAGAAAAGTTCCTGGCGTTATAAACACTTGATGAGTTTTAGTCAATTTTAGGGGAAAATGTCATCAATTATTACCGCTCCGAAAGAAAACAGTCTAATTTTGCAGGTTTCGTGTGTAAATGTATTAGGCCCAACGATCGCATTATAAAGGTAAACAGATCCACGTGTATTATATTCTAAAATTAGCACGACGCCATGCGCAGTTCGTATTTCCGACCATTTAACCCTGTAATCTTACGCGAAAGAGTTCCCTGTAATATTTGTAAATACATTGTTACTCATACTGATCAGAGGTGAATTTTCGCTAGGCCGCTACAATCACTGTTAAGGATGACATCGATGCGACTTAATGAGCCAGAAATATTAACTTTTTTCCCCCGACAAATTAAATTCTAAAACATTTTTTTATATGTATTGGAAAAATAAATAAAGGCGTTTGACGTATTTGTAGGTAAAAATTATTTCCTATTTAGTGTGGGGGGTTGGATGGCCGAATGGTTAGCACGTGCGTGCTGTATCATAAAGCCTGTCATTGAGTCAACTGGCGTGATTTCGAATCCTCGGATGTACGTGACAAGGAGTAGGGTCGCCTGTCCAACCTCGTGGGTTTTCTCCGGGTCCTCCGTTTTCCTCCCACTGCTAAAGACCCCTACGCGCAAGCGAATTGTTGAAATAAAATTAAACCATTTGTTAGTCCCGATATGACCTAGTTTGTGTCGAATGGACGTTAAACCCCATTTTTCTATCTCTCTCTCTCTCTCTCTCTCTCTCTCTCTCCTATTTAGTGTAAATGGGTATTAAAATGACTAAAAGGCAGCATTCTCTCCGAAGCAGTAACGTCTTATGTAAACAATGCACGCGCCATTCAGCCAGTGATTGGCGCCACGTGCTGTGACGGCACGTGTTAAGGCAGTCATCTTTGACAGAGATATTACTACTAGACTCGTAATTCTCAGTGAAACAGATTGATTGTTACTTTGCAATTGGGATCACATTTCTATTTAAATAAGGTAATAGTATTAAATATATTATCATTTATTTGTTTTAAATCGTATTGTTTATCATTGTCCATCAACACAAAGAATCTTGGTGGCGTAGTCAAGGCAAGTGAAGACAACTCTGTTTGGCAGATTGCTGAAAGACATTTATTACTTAAAATACGTCACGATTCTACACACACCACCTCAGCTGTTGGGACTGGCAGAACTGTGACATGGCCGAATTCCGTATGGCCACAGATCACTAAAGTTTTGCCCATTGACTTTAATGTTAATTCTCGCCTCTTAGACCGGCTCTTAACTTTTTCCCAAATTTTCGTTGGGTAGGACGCTTTCTACCACAGATGGAGCAACATGTGGCAACCTCTTGCCCAAAAGCACGTATGGGGTTCACCATGGAAAACTTGAGATACACAAGCTGGAAGTAGAGACAAATAACATGCAATTTTTGACCCTACATTTCAACCTAACCTCTCAACTCTTGTATCCTTCCGCCTCAAAATCATGAATATTCGCCAAAACCTGGCAGAAAATGTATTTTCAAACCCTTTTCTTCGATTCTACACCAAAAAGTCAACAAAAATCGCCATGCAAAAGGGGGAAAAGGGAAAGGGAGAGAAAGACTAAAAATAACTCTGGCCTAGAATTATTTGGTGAGCTGTGTCCGTATCACTTGATTGCGATTCTGTCATTCGGGACGTTCCGGACTGACAATCCAGCGCCCCCTATGTGTCGGGTTTGGCCGCGACTCGAATCCTCAAACATATAATTTGGTCCGTAATTGTGATGGCCAGATGAAGGTCGAGATCTTTTTTGGCATGAAATGAACTGAATCGTATAAGAACAATGCATATCACAGGTTTTTTTTATATATATATTAAAAAAAGATAATTTTATTACAGTTATGTCTTTGTAGGCCTATATACAAACAATATTTGTGGTGAAGAAATTCTGTACATATATAAAATAATGTGTTTATAACAATGATGGTATATGGACACTATTTTACAAACAATGACAATAATAGATAACAACATTTTGATTCTTTTCAAAGGCTACAATGTAAATGTATGCCCCGTAAGAAATGATTAAGAAAATAATGACATTGTTCAATAGAAACAAGTTTGAGTTTGAATCAAAGAATCGTTACTTTAAAAAATACAGCCACCCACAAATTATCGACAAATCTTTAACTTAACTTGTTTCAAGATTATTGTCCTTAAAATGAATATAATAATATGATTGTTTGAACAGTGAGTAAAGAACGTCATTCCGCGGCAAAAAAGTATCTAAAACAACCTTCAAAATATTGATCTGATTTTTATTTAGATAAGTAATGCAGCAAGCGTTCGTTTTATCGAAAGCCAGATTGTTTGCTATTATTAGTATTTTTTAATATCTGGGTCGACAGTGAAACACTAAATCGGTTATGGCTTCGTCTTTAGACTTGAACTTTTCACAAGAAATAAAATAGGACTTAACCATTTCAAGAAAGACAGGTTGTCATCCCCAGGGGCGGATCTAGAAATTTTTGTAGGAGGTGGTTTGCCAGGTTCCTGTTAAGGAAATTTGACAGTTGACAATGCATGATGCCATCATCGTCTCCAAATTACGTAGGCATGCATACACACTGAGTGTTTTAAAGAGAAACCCAACATTCCGTTGGACGTCAAATTTTATTAAGATAATACGATCACATTGTGATTCAATTTCATTGATGCAAAGCATTAATTGTGATATCACATATGTCCATATCAATCATTATCTCACGCTTTGAATGTCCACCCCATCTTACCATATGATGATAAAGGATAAAGCACAGGACCTTGACACTTTTCTCATGAAAGTGTTGTTTTACAAAAAAGAATTATGTAGCTAATCCCCCCTCCCTCCCCCTGGATCCCACAAAACAAAGTCGCATACAAAAAATCCAACCAAAACGACAATCTTATTTTGAGCTTAAATAAAATGGTATGGGTTATTTTTCAGTACAGTATAATGTAAACTCTCATTTTAAAAATACTTTTAAGCGTATTTTTTAATACGCTTAAAAGTAAGTATTTGCTGTGATTTGAAGAGATATGTACTTTGTAATCCAAAGCAAATACGATAAGTGAATTACAGTAGTATAGCAATGGCATCATGTTCTATCAATATATCGTACAAGTAATCAGGGACGCATCTAAGTAAAGGACAGATTTTTACGTGTAAAGGTTAATTACACATAGAAAAACTCATTCTATCAAAGTACGTCTTGTCTGGAAATCTAAATAGATTCATCAAAGCCTTGCACACAGATCTATTATACGGCTATAGAACAGTGCTGCTGTCATTGTGTGGAAATTTTAACAGGTAGACAGTATTCAAATTGCAAAAGCACACATACAAGATTAAAGGGTGGGATACAACCTCGAACTATAATTCTAGGTCAAATTTCTCCCCATTAGATCTGTAAAATTGTAGATTCTAGGACAGAACCGATGTTCTTGTTACACATGTGTATATTACAGAAAACCTGAGACCGTATCCACGAAAATACAAGCTAACATACTTTAAGGATGCAGCTTATTCATTAGCCGTATGTTATATTCCAGACACATTATTTTAGATATTATTCAATCAAATGGTCATATCCATATCAGTTTAAGTTTGGCCGCTGATCGGATAAAACATTTTCTGCGATATCATGCGAGGTGGAAGGGGACGTAAACCTCTATTAGTATCAGTTAATACCTTAAAATGTTTTACAATTGGTTTCCATTTTTCTGTGCAGTTACTTAGAATGCGCTGTGTATAAATGATAACAACGAACTATTTAATTTAAAAATGTAGGTAAAAACGGTGCGAAAGACAAAATGAACATTGATGTAACATTTGACATAGGCTAATAAAGTAGATAAATCATTTTTCTTGGCGGAAGTTTTGTTTATCTAATATGTCCATTTAATACAATATTGCTCATAATAATCCAATGACCTATAGTCTGGTTTAGCTACCATGGGAGTTCGGTTTATGACTATTTTATGGGAATGGGAAAAGACACCAAACAATTCGATGTTTTAGTACATTTTTTAAATACAAATTTATATCAAAATTTAACCCTGGCATTGTGGGGCTTCACTATTTAATGTGTTTATCATCATAAAAATGTTATACGACCAAAATGAAACCGATGATTTTTTAAAAAAAACCTGTTCTATTTAAGAGGAAGTAATATAGTTTGTATTGGAACCAAACGCGACGTTCAACTCACATACATTTGAACACAATTAAAAAAGACTAAATAATTAGCTAGAATGGCTAGAGATATACATGTATAATGGTGACGTCAAATAATCAGATGAAGAATGCACTCCCTCGCGGTCCCATTTCTTTTCTATAACCTCGCAGCACCACCCATCCGTTCTTTGTTTCACTGTCACGAAAACACCAAATTAGGATTATCACATGTTCGGATGAATATATAAAGTGCAAACATCGTAAACTTTGGAATGCTTCTTAAAAATATTACATGTAATGGTGATAAGAATGAGGGAAACTATTGGTGATTATCTGTACAAATGTGTGTATGAATATAATGTACAATAAAACATATTATTTTACAAATGTATCGTATAAGTGGAAATATTTAAAATATTACAGTACAATGTATAAAGTGTATGATTAAAAACAGAAAAAGCTTCTCGTATACTCGCTGCTGCCTTTTCCGTTTATATTGCATTGACAAATAAATTAATGTTAAAACATTTGATAATTACACACGCACTCATAATATGTCACCAGTAAATTGATATAGTAATAAAACATCTAACACTAAAGTCACCAGTAACACACATAATGATAGTTTAAGTTTCACAGTGGTCCCAGTCATTTCTTCTACTGTCGATGTACCTGAAATACATAAAAAGGGAGAATATTTGAGAAGTACCTCAATAAATGGTCTTTAATCGTTATTAAGAGAATAACTCAAGGTCAAATAAAGCTATAATTACAAACCATGCTTTCATAGTAGCCCACTGTGATTTCCTGCCAAAAACAGCGAGTTTCCATATCATGATCAATGTCAAATCCGAATGCCTCAGTGCGGAACTGAATCATAACAACAAAAAATGTGGATATTATAGAGAACTCAGCAGATAAACCTACTCTAGGACTGATTAGCACAAACGGAATTGTCTACGATATGCTTATCAGTAATAAAATACACTACTCAGTTGACTAAAACCAAAGTTATTGGTACTTTTGGTTTACCTGTAATATTTCCGTGCGGAGAAATTACATGTTATAGATGTTAAAAACTAATGTTGTACATGTTGTATTTTATCACTGAACAATCTATTCCACAAGATATTGTATTGAGCGAAATCTCATAGGGGGTATCGCTTTAAGGGTTTTTTTTTTAAAATTATAACTGAGTTCCATTTATTTCCTTTCCTGTGAGAATGCCATTGGGTAGTACATTAAAAATCTTTTTGTGTAATATGCCAATAATCACCGATACAGTAAAAATCCGGGACAAAACTAATGCCCTTTTCTGATCTTTATCGACTAATCTAATATATAAAAAAAGACTGGTCTACGATTCTCTACATGGTCGTAAGATTACGAATTAACTATCAATATAAGTATGCATTTTAGATGTATAAAATTGTATTCGTAGTTGTTGAGGAATGTATAAAGCATAATGTCCAACTTTAGTCATGTTTTAGGATGTTCGGTTAATCACTGTAATCTAAATAAACAAAACAAACTAATATTTGTTTTTCCAGGAACAAAATTTGCATTACAACAAATAAATTAATAATACACATCTTGACATGAAGAAATTAAACTCAAAATGACTGTTCAATTGTTTTATTTCCTAAGATTGAAAACAGGCCTGACGTCAAAGTTGAGGGCTGGAATTAATTAGATTTTCTGTTTAAATAATTGACAGTTCAAATGTTTTATTGTTATTTCAAACATTTATGATTTTTAAATATTTAATTTTCATAGAAAGTCGCCGGCATCATAGCAATTTTCCTTTCAAAGTTTCATCAATGAAAAATCTGGGTCACACCAATTTTGGCCACATATTAAATTATTGTTCTCCATTTTTATAACCGAAGGCCAATAAATTTTCAACTATTTGGAGGTTATATTAGATAAGCAGCGTTTAGTCGCATTTTCATATTTTCCTCTGACCAATTTTAGACCGTATCTTTTTGGGGCCGAACTGAGTACACTGTAGATAATTTAGTGGTGCCGTTATTTTTCTGAACTCACGTTTAAGAGATGTCCCCAGATTTTCACATGACAATAAACAGGCAGCTGTGGGAGAGCTTCGACGCTCATGATTTTGTTTTGGATTGATATGTTGCGTTGCCTCATTTCTATCAGTGATAGATCAAGTTCTATACGGTTAAAGTTTTGTTTCCTTGGAAAAATTATACGGAAGACGGTTAAATTACTACTTTTAGATAACCATTTCGTATTGTGGAACTCAAGCTCGGTTATATGTCAATACTGTCTTTATCTTTAGACATATAATTTTCAACAAAGACAGATTGTCACCCCACAACACTGCTAATATATGAAGCTAACCCAAATCAGAGGTCTAGTCATTTTAAAATCAAAATTCAAAATACGTAAAACTGGTATAATTCACTCCCGTAATCGGATTCATAAACATTGGAAAATTCTCCCGTAGGGAAAAATCGTACAGATGATTAACAGTTAAGATGATTTAGGTAGACCTAGTCCACGACTGGACATAAATTCTGTAGACGTGGATTATTGGATTTGAGCACCTCCTGAGACGGCATGGTAATAATGTCAATAATTTGACTATTACGTGTTGACCAATATCAATGAAGGAAGAGTTATAAAGTCTTGTTTGTACAGGAGATGAACGTAATATTTGTATTGTCTTATACTATAAACATCATCGATATTAGTATAACCCTTTAAATCCAACAATTTTGATTACTATATCCACAAAGGCTTTACTTAACAATATAGCAATTAATATGCCTGGATTTAAAGTATTCCATCCAGATTTAACCCACGTGTGAGGTAACTACACCCCGTAAGACATTTTTGTGCATGTTAATGGGTTTTTTACCCTAGAATAAATATCTTATTGTTCGATTAAATATATTAAAATTTAATACGCCCCTTTGAATGATGAGTTGTGTAAGGCCATATCTGACCCGATTTGACTTCCGTAGATCCTTACGTACTGAACGAACTCATTCAATCAAGGTTAGTCCCCCATTCGTGCGTTCGGGCATTTAACCTCGGCATACGGCAAGGTTCCCCTTAACTTCCCATTTACCAAATATAACAAAACGTACTTACCACGTTTTACATTCGGAGACCCCGCTGAAATAAAAGAAAGAACTAAGTTAACCATTAAGTTCAACAGGACAATCGCCAACAAGAACCATTTTAAATTGCTAATGCACCAAAGATGTAATATTTCCGCTATTCTGCTAGAAGGATCATTTCGATTTTAGTTCTATTCCCAGGTTAGGGAATGTCTTTGCTTCGATGTTAACAAATACGAACCAATGTATTTCAAAGCTCCACCAACGCATAAAGATGGTTGGGTGAAATCAGAAATCTTGATGGATTTGAATAATGTTTGGGTTTGGCCTGTATGATTTTGTCTGTGCAAAATTACAACCCATTGCGCATGAAACATATTCCATTCCTTTCCATCACCCACTGGTCGCGTTATAGAGATGACATATATTCCAGTAAAGGGGTGTCAGAGCACTACGAGACAATAATAAGGCAATACATCAATTCCATTCCGAACATCTCCAGCCACGCCACCGTGTATTCAAATTGGATATCAACTGGTGTATGTCGACAGACAACATATTAGACAACCGACTTTGCCCATCAGAAATATTTGAACTATTTCGTATTAGTAATTTTGTTTTTCTTCTATTCGCGGCAGCTATGTGTCAAAATAGAAACATTTCTTTTCCATTTGACAAATAACACGAACTGATCTTATTTCATTTAAGAGCACGCTTACTTTAAAATTATTAGATTTTGAATCAAATAAGAAGTTGGTGAAAAACTGAAAACATGTAAGTGAGTGTACAGTGACCTTTTCAAAGCATAACAGAGCTTTTACATATTTAAATCACGAGCATAATGGCCCATGGGCCTGATTTACAGATTGTTGATTTTTAAAAATATCTCAAATTAATGTCAAAGCAGGTTTTCCCCGCTAAGTGTATAGTACTAGAAATATAACAGCAAAAATTCTCATAGAATTAGAATGTTGGTTTATTTCCTTTTATTTCCAATGTGTTAATGCTGTTTACATTGAAGTACAGTCTTTCAAAAGTCTGTGTTTAATTAACCTTAGCCAATGCAGATTTAATTTGTTTTTGGTAATATTTGCTTGGGAGGTATAGTTTTAAAGAATCATAATTATGAAAGTCGGACTTCAAACAAAACTGATTTTAAATTAAGTTCTGAACAATTTGTAAAGTAATCGATTATCATATCATACGTTGTTGGTTCTATAGTCGATGACTAGCATGTCACGCAATCTTAAATATATATAGCATTGTTAGCTTTCCAACCTCTAACACCATGCGCTGTTATCTCTCCAACCTCTGACTAGGATGATATTTCCTGTTACCTCTGCAACCTCTGTCTAGCATGCCTCGGAGTAGCTGGAGTAGACCCACGAGGTTGAGAAGCGCTCCTGTCTCCAAGCCACATACGCTCACACCGGGGATCGAAACCGTAAGCCAGAGGTGACCGGCCAATTAGGCCATCCCAACCTCCCTTAGCATTTTACGCGCTGTTAACTCTTTTAACCTATGACGACCATATCAATAGCTGCTAGCTCTCTAAACTCTGACCGGCCATGTCAGGAGTGCCAATTGGGCTTGCATTTCTTGTGAACGCTGCAATTTTCTGGTTTAAAATTATGACCGAGAATCTATTGGTAGATATATAGATAATAAAATTTCACAGGATGTAACTGATAATATAGCTCGACCTCGTCTACTAACGACATTAACGTCATTGAAGAATGGCTATATAATAAATGATTTATGATCACAATATTATCTTTACCGTAACCATTATTGCGATTCAAAATAATTGTATATGGATAAGCAATGATTCAAAAAATTCATTAACCAGTAAGTTTTTGTTGCTGTTATTCTTCTCACTGTTTAACGTCCGCTTCCCCCGAAGGTGATATCGTTGACAATAAACCAGTAAGTTATAAAATCGCGTTTAAATACAGGCCATAAATCGTATTTATAGTCAAGGTTAGGGGCTGGGGCTCTATTACCAGCTGGTGCACAAAGTGAATAAACGTAATATTACAAAGAAATGGGTGATGATAATATGAGAAGGTGTTTATTTGACATACTATTTAAAAACACCTCTTATGTTCACTTTGTTTTATTCATTAAATATTCGTCTATTTTTCTTGTTTTGTATTAAGCGGTGTTTTGTTTAATTCAGACATACTTTACTACAAAGGTTTATGGTATTTTAACCACAACTTTGCATTCTATTCTATTCATGCAACCAATGGTATAAAGTTACTGACTGCTCCAGGAAATTCTCCGACTCTAAAATTCCTCGCCATTTCTTCAGTTTTTAATTTACACGGTCAAAACTTGGTGACATACCTGAAATTGTTACCCCGTTGCTCTCTTCGTCGAGCCTTAACGCCTGGAAGTTCGATAAAATTCACTATTCTCTTGTAAATTTCACACATTTCGACATTGTTTCTTTCTCAAAACATAAACATTACAGAGTGCGTCTGCGTAATGGGAAACTTGCATTTCGCGTAAAGGGTAGACAGGGATCTCCAAATCGGGTACATTCGCCCGTTTCTTTTGCGGCAGTAATACTTATTAAATTTCACACTGTGAATCCTGTGTTAAACACTCCATGCTTTTTGGTCGGATTTATATTATGTTCTGTCTGCTTATTTGGCAGTAACTGCTCATTAAGCCACTCGTTTTTGAGAGCAAGGTCTGGAGATGTGACTTTTTATAAACACTTTATTAGATTTCCAAAGTGCATAGGTTCTGATCAGCTGTAAATAAATATTTAAAATATATTTATCTAAATTATCTCCCTTTAACGAAACAGATTTTAGCGTATAAACTAGATAATAATTATCCGGTTGACACAGAATCAACGGCAAAGTACACACGATGGCACTAGCTATAATAATTATTGATACAAAATATTATTTCATCGCAATTTAGCTGAAAGATATCTGCATTGTCCTCGTAAATAAGCAGAGAAAGGTGGGAATCGATTTTCGTATTCCGTTTTCCTGCAAATGTTATTTAACTTGTTTATTATATAATATTTGTATTTCCTAAACATTTATGTACACGTAGGGTTGATATACAAGATCAACTGAAAACCCATGAATCATTCTGAATTTTTGCCATTTGCGAGACATATGTAATTTTGTGAGAATCACTTTTCAAAAGAATATAATATTGTTCTATTTTCATGACATTTGCACTATTCGATGACTACTGCGTTTGTTCATTATTATAACTTTCTTGTCATTAGAAATGCCGTCATTTTGACAAAACTTGTACTTTTAACCCTTAGTAAACAAAGTTTTATTTCAAATGTACATTTTTCTTTATATTTAAATTTTAAAACTTTAATCCCACTCATCGAAAAGCACAAATCAATGCGAACATATAGATGTCAAAAGATAGTTTATAACTTGATGAAATTGTTTTGCCCAACACGTCTCTTTTTGATTTTGGAAAAACACCTATATTTTCAACCCTTAAGCATGTTTTTTTTAAAAGAGTGTTATTCTATACCCTTTAATAATAATGTTTACTAATTTCCTTTAAGTAATATTGTGTAGATATACGATTAAGCATTGGTCACTTTGTAGGAGTTTCACACGTCAACATGTTATCATAAATGGCCATTTTATTTATTATTTTTTTTACACGTGTATCATGCTTATGGGAATATGTTAAGTGACGTCCGTTAAAGGATAACGGGCTCCGCGAAACCCGTCATGACTGCATAGCAGTTATAGTTTTCTATAATTTTCTGAGCTGTTTCTAAACCTTTTTTTTTTTTTTTTTTTTTTGCAAAATAAATGCCGGTACTTTAATATTCCGCACGGTTCACTGCATAGAACATAGAAATTATTATGTTTTGACTTTCTTAGAAAATATGAAATTATCGCTTTAATGGCACGCCAGCATCTACTGGGCGATAATGCGCCAAACATAATTAAAATATAAAAATTGTTTTGCTTTTGTTGCACACTTCCTGAGAAATTAGGTTACGTATACAATTAGTTTGATCATCACTCCAGCCTAAATTCAACTTTAAAATTTTCGAGGGTTCTGAAGACAAAGTTTAAAGCAAAGAATACCTATGCAACCCGCGATTACTTTCGCATTATTATTATTATGTGGTATGTAGTTTATATCAATATCATTACGCTACAGGTCAATTGGACAACAACTGCGGTCTTAAATCCCGTAACATCCAAGTAGGCCGAAACGACCCAAAGCCAAACCAGCGCCCCCGCCCAAATCAACTATTCCAGATAACTAGGTCAAACCTGACTGATGTTCAGTAGCCACTCGGCAAACCTCAACAGATTCCAGTACCCTACATCTAATCTCGGCTGTATGTATTTCATTGAAATACACGTGCATGATGGTGTCTGTATTTTAAGTTGTTTAATGGTCTCGTGTAAGACATTGCGTAATATATAGATATTGTACTCGTGCTGTCGCACTCGTAGAATATCAATATCTCTCACACTCAACCATTAAACTACACGTAATCAAACCACGATTTTTTCAAGAAAGAGAGGTTATATAGCTTGATCTAAAATTATTGATATTGTACAACCTACATATTAATGCTGTCGTCTATTATACATACTATTAATACTGAATAACCTACTGTCATCGATTATACATACTATTAATATTGTATAACTTACATATTAATGCTCTTATCTATTATACATACTATTAATATTGAATAACCTACATATTAACGCTGTCGTCAATTATACAGAATATTTACAATGTATAACCTACATATGAATACTGAAATCTATTATACATACTAATTATTATTTTATAACCAACATATTGATGCTGTCATCTTTATTACATACTGTAGATACCGTATACCCTACATATTAATGCTGTCATCTATTATATACATACTATTAATATTGTACAACCTACATATTAATGCTGTCATCGATTATACATACTATTAATACTGTATAACCTACTGTCATCGATTTTACATACTATTAATATTGTATAACCTACATAATAATGCTGTAATCTATTATACAAATACTTTATAAGCTACATATTAAAGCTGTCATGGATTATATATACTATTTATATTGCATGACCTACATATTAATGTTGTCGTCTATTATACATAATATTAATACTGTATAACCTACATATGCTGTCATCGATTATACATACTATTAAAAGTGTATAACCTACATATTGATGCTGTCGTCTATTATACAAATAATGTATAAGCTACATATTAATGCTGTCATCGATTATACATACTATTTATATTGTATAACCTACATATTAATGCTGTCGTCTATTATACATAATATTAATACTGTATAACCTACATATTGACTTTTGTCTTGTATGATACATAATCCGACCGTGACATTAAAATTTTATCTCCAAATTCCAGTAAGTCAAGAATAAACCGATTGTAAAAAAGACTATGTTTTCAGTGGCGTAGCTAGAGTTTGTGGCACCCACACTCTGCCTCAGAAAAACACAACACTGACATTTAGGCTGGAGTATAAAGAATATACTTGCCCTTTTCAACCTATATCAAATGATAGATGAATTTAATTATTCCGTAACATAATTTTGAGCCATTGTATTGAATGAGAAAAACAAAGTCACTATCGATCGATCATAACTTGCAAAGATAGATGATATTTAATCAATTATATTTTATAGATTGCCTATATCACCATGGGTGTCATCAACACAACATAAAAAGAAAAGGGCACAAACATACAGTTTTAATCCCCCATCCCCAAGAAACAAAAACATCCATAAACCCAATTCTTCTTCAGTTTATAATTTTAGGTCATTTATACTTTACCTACAGACTTCGAAGTATGTTTAAAGAAGCAATATCGACAGTAAGGACTGAAAATAGTAATTTAGGCCATTGAATCTCCAAATAAAATCCCTCAAAATCCAATTAATTACTCAATCTAGATATAAGTTGTAACTTGTGCTATTTCTAGAACACCTGGTATCACAGCTCACAGCTATTTGTTCTACTATTGGTTTTCGGTCTCCTCGGTGTCGGTTTTATTTCTAAATTGCAGAAAAAATGCGGTTAATTCTACGAAAAAGAGGAGTAATATCATCTCAGAATACTCACCGTTTAATATATGAACTTTGACACTGGTTGTATCCAAATTACTACTTCTGCATACATAAGTCCCTGCATCAGCCATTTGACTGTGTTTTAACACTAAGACACTAACTAATGTTTTGGTTGCCGTGAATTTATATTTTTCCAAAGTTATTTTTTGATGAGCGTCCGGTGATATTTTGATACCATCTTTGAACCAGTCTAAATTATCTGGCGGATTATCGATACCCGATGAGTTGCATACTAAATGAATCGAGTCACCCTTTTCTACGAACTGGGTACCGGACACAAATATAGCTGAAAAGGAAAAAAAATTGAAAGCATTGAAAGCAAAGATAAATCATGGCCTCCAATATCTGTGCGACTTCATGACAAACACACTTGATTGATTCATTTTCAGTAAAGATTTGAAAAATTTACATGAGCTGGAGGGCCTCTTTCGCGAGAAACGATTTATAATGCTGGTTAAATGAAATACAGTACTGATTCCGCGATAAATGGAACAAAAAAATGTTTGGATCCATAATATATGATGGTAATTTAACTTACACAATGTTAAAATAACATGCATTTTATAATAATGCTGACATCTAGTCTACATAATGTTAATATTGTATAACCTATTGATTACAATTGTATTCTAGGATACATACTGTTAATATGACCTACATAACCTACTTGTGATGCATAATGTTTGTATAACCGACTACAAGGATACTGTTTAATCTACATATTAACTTCACTATATTTTATGATACGAGGGCTGGCTGAAAAGTTCTAAGCCTGTCTGTGAAAGACAGGAATCTGACACGTTTCTGATCCGCAGTTCAGAGCTTCGGCATCCATCTTGCAGACACTTTTGTCATTCCTAACTCGTTGGTTACAATGCTCAACACCCCTCCCCACCACACCTCATGAGAGATGGCCACAACACTGGCAATATGTCGAGGGGTCAATCGTCGATCAGTCATCACCATGTCATGCAACTTGGTAATCTTTTCTTCAAAGGTTGCTGTTGATGGCGTTCCAGGACTCAGGTAATCGCCAAGGTATCCCAGCCATGCTTAAATTACGCAGCCAACCTCTTTACTGTGGAAAAGCAAGGGACATCATTCCCGAAAGTGGAGACCATGTCGGCCTGTATCTGTGTTGGGGTTAGTCCTTTCAGTTGAAGGTACTTGATGACTGCCTATAGCCAGTTTTGTCCATTTTGGTGATTTTAGGTTCACCAAATGGTCTGGTACGAAGACAATAATACCACTACAGTTGCAGTTCAAATGAATAGTTGTTAGTGGCAAAAGTTTGTTGCAACCCAATTGGTCTATTCTTTTCCGGCTTAGAACTTTTCAGCCAGCCCTCGTACACAATGTAAATACTGTATAAATACTGTATAACCTAAATATCAATACTGTTTTTGTCTCATTTGAAGGATTAAAAAACAAATATACCTTGGATAATCCCCGATAGAAATTAAATTAATTTACATGACAGACATGTAAACTTTGAGCTTTCATTTGTCCCGTTTTTCATATTTTAAGGTGTTAAGCAAAATATCAAACTTTAAATAAAATGGAGTTTAAAGCGGAAATTGCAAATTTTCTAAGAAAGTCAAACGTAATTATTTATATGTCTTTTGCTCAATAGGTTGTCAACTCACAATTATACGATCATAGGTGTCATTCTCACACTTAAGATTCATTTACACATGAAATAATAACAAAACTACCTCCCTTGTTTTCTATTCTCCACCACGGAGTAGAGATATTCAAACGTTTGAAAATGAAGGGGAAAATGATATTTTTGCCAATTTCTCAGCTGGCAATAGTGAATTATAGGATTAATAGGATTATTCTTTAACAAGGTAGGACTGTTTATGGATACCATCTATTTCCAGGCTTTATTTTAATAAATTTTAAAAATATAACTTAAAAATTTGCAATTTCCGCTTTAACGTCCTACTTATCTCCACAGATAGGGCTAATGAATAATGAAATACACCATACAGTTTTTTCTGAGACACCACGACCTACTCTTGTTTCGGATTACAACTGTCAAGGGTTCTCTTTAGTGCATACGAACGTGTACCCGGGAACTCGATATATTTTACCCATCCCGTCCTGCACCACTGACGCGGGTAAAGTACGCTGGTAAATCACAGGGAACTTTCTCGGCCTATACCGGGATCGGCCTGTGGACTTCCTGGTTAGCGAGACGGCGCTCTACTCTTTAACCTGGCCAATGGTGGATTTTTTGTAATCTGGTAGTCAGGTATAGAAGGGCCTTTAGAACCCTTCAATTTATATCGTTCTGATTTGAAGACCCCACCCCGCCCTCCAACTTGTATGTGTCTTGCTTTCTTTCCTTTCTGATGTCATTGATTTATTATGATGCAAAAGTTTAGAATAGTCGCATAATGGTTAAATGACTGCATGCAAATATACGCATCAATAGCCAGACAATCAAAATTAACGGAAAACTTTTAGCAGTTATTACTAAGAGTCTAGTGTCAGATTATGTAAACTGTCTGGTCGAAAGAGATTTTTAAAAACAAAACGCAGATCAAGTAAAAGAGTAGGGACGTAAAAGAATCGATAAACTCTAAATACCAGTGGAATTGCAGAATAAAGCAACACGACGACTATGTGGCTTCAATACATAGTTGTTGCACCATATGTTTATGTGCCTTATTGTTGGTTAATAATTACATAAGTAAGCGGAATAAACATCAAGTTTAGTGTGTGTTCAGTGATAATCACGTTTCTTCACCTTAAAGTCACGAATTTTACATTAGTCTCTAGCACAAGTCAGAAGATCAGCTTCCAGGAGCCTGGAGATATATCCATTTCAATCGCACTGTACCACAATATAATAGTTTGATTAATGTCTTCAACAGATCGCTAGTCGATTTTTTAATAAATATAGAGACAGACAGCGCTTTTCAGTTAGCGACTTGAGTCTTCTCTATTGAGAGCCAATAAATCTTTAACATTGCCGTCCATTCATACCCATACCGCTAAAGATTTTGTTCATATAATATATCTTAATTCTTGGTCAATTTCTAAACCATTTCATTGCAGCAGTTCTTGGTGATTATCTGAACATTGGTTTTTGTGGACTTGATCAATTAAGATGGTAAATAACATGCCCCGAGTCTATGTAATTAAACTAGACTACGATGTGTATGTCTACATGAAGCACTTTAGATCAATCTCATATATAGGAGGAACCGATGCGTGGTTTTTTTTAATTGGGTTTTAACTGAATGTGTTTAACAGTAAGCAATTTATCTATGTGCTTAAACCTTGGGAAGACCACGGCCCTTCCTAGATATTTATTGAGATGCTAATAGTTAAAAGAATCTCCGAAATCAAGAAGGAAATTCATTATGGTTATACTGGCACCATTTCAATCTTCGTGCAGTACTTCACGTGACTTCAGGGCTAAGGTTATCAGGGTTGCACTTGACTACCCAAGCATATCTTCATACTTTTCCGCACATTTTGGGCTTTCCCTTACACTATACTAAAGAGGAACCCATATCCCAATATTAAAGTGATGTGTCAGAATGATAGAATCTTACGAGAATTTGGAATATGGCCAACAGTTCTTTAATAACCGAAGACAATAAGACAGACAGTAAAGATTGTCATATTTCAGATTGAAGAAGATTTGTTTTCTAGGTAAATATTCTCATATTATAAAGTCTCTGAGGTCAAGATTCATTCAGATAACCGAAAGAAGGCAATCAAAACTTGGTGCTCAAATGACCATTCATTAGAATACCAGACTGTATCAACAGAAATAAGGGAATGATAAATATAATGTCTCTGTATTTTTATATCTGTAAAATATTTCCTAATATTTTGTGTCTTAGAAACAGTGGTTTAATTCCACAATGCACATTTTGGTTTGAAAATTATATTCTATAAAGATTTTGGGGCAATCTATTTGGTGCCATGGTAGTCAAATGTCTGATAGAGAAAACACTAACATACTGTATATTCAAATTTTATAAATACTTACATGGAGCTGCCGGCAGTGGTTTACCTGAAAATCAGACAGAAAAGGTTAAATGGTATAAAAGAAATATAGATATCTCCTGTCATATCAGTGACGCCATTATTTCTATACTAAATGTATATAGAATTACTTACGATGCCACTTACAGTGTCTTTTCTCTAAATGCAAGAACCGGGTGCTAGACATGTCAATTTATTGAGACACAAAAATGTTCAATTATATTAAAGAGTTTGTTCATGTTAAATTTGTCAGTTCGCAGTCAAATTGATGTGCAAAAAAGAACAAAAATATAGATTAAATAGTGAATATACTCAAACTGGAGACTACAAAATATAGCAATAGTCTTCAAATTATAGATGAGATTCCATCAAAGTTGACTTTTTATGTGTTGTAAGACATACTTATCAAATCACAACAGTATTTCCAAATAATCACACAAAGGAAATGTTCCATATCAATGCAAGCGTTGCCACACGAAGGATAATTATGTCGTTATTTGCGGGAATCAGGGAATAATATAAAAGACGTAGTAAATACACACTGACATGGTTCGGGTATCTTCATCCAGAACTCTGATAGCTTACTTTAATTTATTTGTGTCTATAGAGATAACACTTCAATAATCTAACTCCTAATGTTTCAAGTTTTAAAACAACATAATACAATATTCAACCAAGTGCAGCGTAATATATAAATGGTGCTTAATATTTAAAAATGTATAAGGTGGGCGCAAGCATATCAAGGGTCAAGGTTATTCCCAAGGTAAAGGTAACACAGTTTTCCCGCAAAACATGACAGAATGACCCAATTGTAAGACAAATATCAGATTGGCTGTATCATCAACGACTATGTAGAAGTCCAAATAGCGAAACTTTTTTCGGGGTTCAACTAAGGGCGTGTGTCATTGCCAAATCTAGATTTTCTAGACATGTTCGCCGTGGACATATCAATGGCCCTTATTATAAACCAGAAGAATGCATACTATCTGCTATTATATTCATGTGTGATTGTCAGATTCCTGACGATTTTCAAATCCGAATCCACATAATGAAACTATGATTATGAATCAGTCTGGTGGTGTGGATTCTTGGGATACAAAATTGCGGTCACTCACGTCATTCATCTGTTAAATGGCAGATTCCTGAATATGTTCGTGTGTGACAATGAAACACACAGGTCAAATAATTAGGCATCTGGGTACGGATTTGCACATCTGAATAGAATCTGGCTTTGGCTTCGTGGACTTAAATGTTGTGGAGTCTGCGCAACTGCTTCATTGGTATAATCTGGTAAGGGATTGGGAGTTTGGCAACAAATGTTTGAAACATGGAATTCCAAATTCTTTCCAATTTCAGAAATGTTTTGGATCTTCTGGTGAAGTTTTGCGAGAAACTGGCCTTGGGAAATAATTAAAAGGTGAAAAAACAAATAAAATATTCTTTCATCAAGGTACGGTATGATAGACAAATAGGGTTTAGGTAAAAGGTACACGTTTTTGTTACAACGCTGATACAGAATGTACAGAGCATTCAATATATAAGTTACCTTTATATCCAGTTATATTATATCCTTTTGTACCTTGCAAATATAATATTATTTACATTTTATAAAAATAGACGCCAAAAGGGTATGTTGCGATATGAAAATTTAAACATAAAGAAGAAAGGAATGGAAAAGTTAGTACAAAATTTATGTCATCTAATATTCTCTTCTTGTTGACTATTATATGTTCAAAGTAATGAAAAAGACATTAGGCTTTATTGTTGCGGGTGGGATACGTTTGTGGTAATTGGCTGATAAGAAATCAAATACTAAATGTATTAATTGAAGGGAGAAAAATAGTAATTGAAAAAGTTTAATACCATTAGACTATAAAATAGTATTCCTGGCTTCGTTGTACTCCTCACAATTTATAATGGCGATGTATAACCTTCTGCCAAATAACAACAGGCATGAGTAATGTATGGTTATCGAATGGGAATTTTATCTCAAGAGAGCATGGTCTAAATGAAGTTAGAATCGTAATCCCTCGAATATTTTCCAAATCAATTTAAGTTTGATTTTTATTAAACCTCCAGCTATAATGTCTGACTCGAGCCATAATCGGGTGAAATATAGTAGAATTCCCATATCAGCCACGAGTGAAACTAGAATTGAATAGCGAATTGGCGCTAGCTTGTTCTTTAACAGAGCATATGGGAAGTATCGCATCATTTATAGTATCGGTTTCATTGCCATATTAAAGTTTTTGTGCCATAAACGTCAAGAAAGGCGGGAATACCATAGACTGAAGATATTATGACCTCCGAGATTGAATCGGTGCCTTCTGTAATAAGTGTAATGAGGTGTGATATGTCTGAAAATTATGTCTTCGATATTTTAAGATAACATGATAAAAACTCCTTTTAAAGACATTATTATACGTACTATTGACTCTTAATAAAATAAGCTTGGTTAGTTTTTTCCGGGCGCTGACTTGACACTCATAAACACCACCATCTTTTGGCTGGACATCTTTTATGAGCAGGTTAAATTCCTTGCGCTCTGGTAATTTTTGTAAAGCTATCCTAGGGTCGGATATAAACTGTAACTCGCCTATTGTGATAGGATTAGGGTCGGATGTTCGTCTCCATATAACCTAAAATTGTGAAAAAAAGCTGATAGATTAATTCCATTGAGATTGTAACACAAAAAAGTCTTGTCTGCTTTTACGCATTACTAACAAACGAAAAGCATAAAAAATCTAAACAATATTGCAAGCCAACAACTTGGCTCAGTTCAAATTATTCGCCAGTCTGCGTTTAATACAGTTCAAACACCATGGGCTTATTTCAAAGATTTTTTTAATCATGACATCAACAGTTTTTATAATGATCGAATCATCTGGAATCTGTTTGGTTTAATTAATTTTCATAAATGTTGCATTCTTTTGAATTATCGTGCAATCCGACTAACCAGACATATTCGTCAGCTCTAAGAATGGGCAGCGCTGTGCTAGCTCAGCAAGGACCATTCTGTGACAGGAACGACTCATTCACCTACAGTTTTTATCTCAAAATACCGCTTAAACTACACATAATTATACCATTTGGGCACCATCTAGGCCCTAAAATACATTAGTATCTGTTTTATAAAAATGTCTTCAGAAAAAAATACTTTCAAAGGCCTGTAATCGTTCATAGCTCATCTGGCGCCGACGGGAATTGGCTTCCGCAGTTGTCCACGAGCTTCCATTGGAATATCGACGTGCTCAATCTTAACAAACATATCCATTGCTCTCAAATAGACATTATTTTAAATAAAATAATCCAAACAAAAATGAAAAATTCACCTAAAAGGGAGATTCGAACCACCAACCGCATGACTTCCCCCGACCCACCCTCTCACCGAGTTGCTTGTCCAAGGCCCCAAGGTCCATGTCGTGGGCCCTGTTCAGGGGGTTTGCCTAGGGCCTCTCTTATTCTTAATTCGGCCCTGAAGGTGCAGCTAACGGTACCCGTGAGCCGTAGCTACCATACTACACTGTTCAACGTCGCCCACTTCGACGCAAGGCTTTGTTGCCGTTAATATTTAAGCTTCCACATTTCTGTATTGTAGAAATCAGTGGATGTGTCCCAAAATGAATAGTGGAAACATGCTTTGAAATTAAACATTTTGTAGCCAATACAACAAATATGTTAAAGGGACAATAAATACAAATACACACTTATATACAGTACAACATGGTACAAATGATGGCTATGGATATAATGAAAACGTATAAAAGTCAAAAAATTTATTTCTCTAATTAAATTTGCAAAAAGAAAAATGTATCACAAAAGTTTATTTTTAGCACTTTTCAATAAGCTGTATATTTTAAGTATGTTGCATTCCGGTCATTTTTTTACACCTATGGATACTATGTGCTTAGCACTTCAAAACCATCCAAAGAAATTCTACTTGCGACCATGAAAGAAAAAGTTACAGTGTATGTGAATATGGTACCCTAAAACAAGTCCACACAAAATAAGTATGTACTGATTTTTTTTTTTCAAATTAGTGCTGGGGTGGAAGTTGACCACCCGCTTTATCAGAAGGGGTCAAAATTAGAAGGTTGCTATTCCACCATAGAATGCAGTCTGTGCTTAAAAAGGGTGATAAATACACATGTGACAACCGCAATTCTACCCATAAAATGAATAATTCCAGTACAGTCCTTTAGAGCGACATTAATCTGTAACCACTTCAGCATGTCACCTCTTGTCCCTAGGGGGTGTCATACCATAAGTTTGATCAAAAACTGCCGATCCCCTATATTAGCACCTTTTGCGATTTTTGCATGGTCTTCTCGCGGATACACTCCTAAAACTAAACAGATCGGCGCTCGCTTATTCTGCCTAAATGCAAATCTAAATAACGCATCTGTACTATATTTTAACCTAAAGATATTGTTCTCCATGGAATTTTGCATCATCAACAATCTGTGATATGGAGTCATGGTTTCGGTCGTGGCTATTCCCAAGTTTGATTATCTTGAACTGCACTTGTTGTACTCATAGATAAATAAAAATATGTGTATCAAGCACCTGGTACCATTTCTCAATTACTTGGCAAGTTTGTATAGCAAACTATTTTAAAATGTACTTTTGCATTTTATTCAAAGACGCGTGGATCCTATACAGGGTGTAAGGGTCGGGTGGTTGAATGGTCTAACGCGTGCGCTTTAGATCACGAGGTCAGTCATTGAGTTAAGTGGCTTGGTTTCGGATAACGGCTAGTACGTGACAAGGAGTAGACTCGCTTGTTCAATATCGTGAGTTTTGTCCAGGTCCCGCCCCCCCCCCCCCCACTGCTAAACACCCCTACGCGCAAGCAAATTATCGAAATAAAATTGAACCTTATGTTAGTCTCGATTTGACGTGGTTTCTCGGGGGGTTGGATTGCCGAATGGTTAGCACGTGTGCGCTGTATCATAAGGTCTGCCATTGAGTCAAATGCGTGGTTTCGATTACCGGGTTGTACGTGACAAGGAGTAGGGTCGCCTGTCCAACCTCGTGGGTTTTCTCCGGGTCCTCCGGTTTCCTCCCACTGCTAAAGACTCCGACGCGCAAGCGAATTATTGAAATAAAATTGAACCATGTGTCAGTCCCGATATGACCTATTTTGTGTCTAGTGGACGGTAAGCCCCATTTCTCTCTCGCTCTCTCTCTCTCTCTCTCTCGTAGTTTCTCGCTCTCTCACACTCTCTCTACATGGTGATCTCGTTTCTCATCAAAGAGGAATTATAGCCATGATCAATATTCGAAGCATTGAATCGTTAAACTGACATAAAACTTTATAATGAACGTTGGTGAATATATATATATATATAATGGTTGCGACCAAATCTTGATGTAAGTCACTACAAAAACATGTTTAAGCTAATTAAAGAAATAACACCCTCTTTTCATAACAATTGGATAATCTCTAATTTACCAGACAAACTGTCTGGTGGTTGTTATTCTCTGAAAGGTTGTTGTGTCTGATGACCTATGTAAGACAGACGCATCAGCCCTGCGGACATACTAGATTTTCTTGATGCTCTTTTCAGTACCAATGTCCACTAGGCCTATTATTGTCAAGACTGGACTATGGCCTGGCGAAATAACGGACCCCAATCAAGCTATATGCATGCTAACTTTTGATATTGTTAGAGGCCTCAAGGCATCTTAATCAAGACGGCGGTTAGCGGCTTACTTCTGTCCAAGATTGATATTATTTTACGCATAAGTTTATTATTTTAAAACGAGTTCAGAAATGAAGGGTAAAGTAAATTAAGTGCACTAATTTGAACTGGCAGTTATAACCACAGCTCTAGCTTTTTTGCTAAATTTTTATCTCATCCTTTTCTGACTTACAGTTTCATTTCGATATCGTTGCCGAACTATGTGCCTTGTGTATCATATGTTGTACAAATTTGATAAAACATTGTTCCATATTAAAACTAACCTATAAACGGTAGAGTAAATTTGATAAGTGAAATGTGTAAACGGGATTATTTCAACTCTCCGTATCACACATTCTTTATAGCTATTAAATTAAGATGTTATTTTCCGATTACTCACTGTCTTAGTTCCAATATTTTCTATAGCACAACGGAGTACTGCAGTATCTCCTCTATGGAATGTCACATTATTTGGTCGATTTAAAAAATAAGGCATACTGAAGGACTGGTGCTCTTCTCTAACGTAAGCTGAAATGAGAAAAATATATACAACTGAAGTAAGTATACAGTGCATATAACAGTAAATACAATTGTATATATTAAGATTTCATCTATTAGTATACATGTATATACACTTTACCCATCTAATAATATAAAGTGGAAAATGCCCAAATTTTCTTGAAATACCCGAATATAAGGATGAAGAATCAAGTGAAGCCTGTAAACTTGATTGGTAAAATACAAAAATCTAAGCCTCCGAAACGTTGGACACTTGTGTATAAAAAAATAAAAAATCTGACACGTGTCAATAATTTTTCGATGTTAGTATGCTGATACAGATTTTTAAGGGGTAGTGTCGGAAATTATATCATGTTTCCACAGCCAAACAACCGCACTCATTTGTCTAGTAGCGCAAGAGTTTACAAACCGAAATACATTGGATGGTCATCACAACGTTTACATTTCTCATAAAGGAATAGAGACAACTGGAAATGTTTGCTTTAGGTGATAACCCCAGCATTGTCACGAGATTAATTGTTTCGTAGATTATCTAGTATCCTTTTAGAACTGTAACCTAATACCAAAACTATTTAAGACGTCAATGAACTTGTCGATACAAATGCTGTAAAGCAGATCGGAGATCGAATATAGGGAGACAGTAAAATTCTGTTACAAGACTTGGCATGGATTTTGTTTGCAATCCCAATACCGCATGTTAAACTGTTATTGACAAACAAGAAATAAGAGAAAACTACAAACACTCAAATACGAGTATTATTTTTTATGGCTGTTCTGGAAATATGTTAAATTTTACCGATCACATTTCGTTGTAATGCATAGAATAATGGTTAAAATGTAGTTTAAACGATTTTGAATAACTGTACTTTGGAAGTTGTATTGTCTGGGCCATCACCGGCATATTGAACAGTGTTGCTTCATTTACAATAGGCAATGACACCCTTCTACATGTATAGTGCCATACTGTATAAATCTTGAATTAGAAGAGCTTTCTTTAAAGTATTTTAGGAATCCTTAAAAGGTACTTTTGCAGATAAAAAACGAGAATCGCTGTGAAAGAATTTAGAATTAGCTAATCAAAACCTAAACTGGTTCACAGAACAGATGGCATCTGTCTACTCGTAGAAAATCGAATTTTAAAAGAATGCAATGTAAAACGACACCAATCTTCCTCAAACTGATAACCCAAACTATGTGGATGGCTATAAAAATGGTGCTAAAGAGGAAATCAGTAGGAAAGTATGATTGGGTGTGATTTAGAATATCCGAGGATGCCGTGCTCCTTGTTTTGATTGACTCACATTTGCACATTACATTAATAATTATTTTTCATTCAAATAAACTAACAAAGAGTGGATTTCGCGACATAACCAATGCGTATACTCCGTGCTTACTTCTATGCACGTGTACAATTTCTGTCGTGAATCAAAAACAAAATGGTTCTGGATTTACCCATTTTTGTAGAAAGAGAAAACGAAACTAGCTTTATACACCTTTCCCGAACCTCACGCATAGTTAATTTTTCTCCCCGGATTTAGCCCTTTATATTTTTCAGAGGATGCAAAGGAGAATTTTTATTTTGAAAACGAAATGTATGTCGATTTGTTTTCCAATCGGTATAGTTTGGCTTAGTAACGGGCAAATAATGCACGAATTAATTTATATAACGAATTTAATTCAAACTCAAATACACCTGGAATCATTAACATGGCTGTAAGGCGTTGCAAAAGTGGCAATTATATTACTTACACCGTGATCTTGCTCGTAACAAAACTAATAATGCAAAACACGTCAATGTTATTCTTGAAAAACATAACAACGTTCACGTGTTACGCAGGTAAACATTTATATCTTTCTTATAGTAATACTCATAAATTGGAATTGGTAAAACAACTGGCCGTGATAATGAGATTACTTTAAAGTATCAGTCTGTAAGTCTGTCGATAATTGACTCCCTTTTTTGTTCTTTTAAGTATCAGTTACCGTATTCCGTGCTTCAGCTAAGCATTGTGATGAAATTGATTACTATAATATCATTCTTATACCACTTAATTATTTCCTTGAAAATGCCCTTAAAACAAATTGCTGGCAAGAGGCGGAGGAAATTTCTAATTACACGTTTCCTAGCCCTAGGGACTCCGACTAATATGTCTAGCTTCGGAAATGGTTGGATGTTAAAGGGCTTCTTTTGATTCCACTAATAAGTCCATACTATAAACCAGCAGTAGCAATTAAATCTCAGTCGAACAGTTAAACATCTCCACAAAGGGTGACTCTTTCAATTTATACAAACTAAGAAAACAATTACTTTAATGAATATAATTTCCTCCAAAATTATTACCGAATATCCAACCATGAAAGTTAAGACAATAGGCCACTTTCTACAATTAATACAAAAAAGGCCTCACTAAAAACTGATTTACATGGTGATGTATATAAAAAGAGAGAAGCTTGAAAACAACCCACGCAGTGAATGTACGAGAAATTGCTAAATTTCACTTTAGGGAATAGTGATCTGTATCATAGATTGGAAAATATATATAGTATACAGATATTGGTGACAGGAGAAAGCAAAACACGACTGGGCGATAAGCGATGGCCTTTCGGAAGATATGAATTAGTTTCCAGATTGACCCCTCATCAACAAGTCTTGGTCTTCAAATCTCTGGTGTACTGTTAAAAAGTTATAACGACAACTTGAACAGCCCAATTACATTTTCATAATTGAATCAGGATATCACGTATTTTAGGTTAATCCAGTACAAAATCCAATATCAATAAAATAGTAATAAAATGCCGTCTTCATCAATAAGTAAAATATTTACAACGTTCTCATCAAATCTGAGACTAACTTTTGAAAGAGATCGACAAGTAGGCCTACTTGCGCATACCTGCTTTTATAGCAGTTTTGTATACCAAATCTCAAAAGACTCATAATTCCTTATAATTTCTTAGATTGTATAGCAATCATGACTAGGTTCCAATTTACGACTACATACCACAGTATAGGCTACCCATGCTCTTTATGTGCAATTCATGTCCCCATTTGAGACCCGACAATTTACCTTCATTTTCAATTTATAGCTAGAGTGATTGGTCTTATCTTAATGAGATAATAAAATAAATTAAGATGGATTTCTTTTTCCAAATGACAAACATAAATCACCAAGTCTTGGAGGAATTTAGCATCCTGGAAATGAATGTGCTAAGTTTGGTTTCTACAATAGATACTGGAGATTTCAGTGGCATCGATTACATTATATTACGATCGGGCCTGTAGAGAGGCAATTTACGATCCAAACTGATTGGCTTATTACTAACCATGGCGACCCCAGAATTGAAAAATCCAATTAATGTGACATTTGATTTTCATGGCCAAATGATAATATTCGCTGCAGCTCAGAAACCCCCAGTGTTGTCACTGATTAAGATTACTAATACTCTTGAGTAATACACGCCAATTAACATTGTGCTAATACAATTCCAACCCCGTCTGATTTACCATCAAATTTACTTCTTATAAATAATGGTTAGAGAAAGCAGAGCTAACTCTTAACATAGTTAAATAATAAAGTCCTCGGTGACTTCCCATTTGACCTATCCAGTATTATAACTATTTAGGACGATATGGTTTACTCGTGAGCCTCTGCCTCCTCACTTTAATCAGTCAGACACTTTCTGGTGCGATAAAATTTTGCCACAAATGAAGAAAAATAAATGTCCCCGATTACTTTATATCCCTTTTTTGTGACAATTATAGTCTTTAGACGTGACTCTTATGACGAAGTGGTCATTTTTGCATTACTGTGATAGAATTTTACAGAAGACGTTAAAGCTTTTAAAAACAGGAAAAAATGTTCAACGTTGCCCGTTTCTATCATTCTTCCTCCTTGCCACTGTTATTCTAGAATGATTTCATTAAAATAAATTCAGCTCAAGTCAAGAAGATTATACATGTCGATGATTTAAAGTGAAGATTCGCGTTATTCGGGATATCCACCATGTAATTCAGATTCAGTCGGGCAAAAATCTATTATAATGTAATAATTAAGGATTGAATCGATGTAAGCGAGGTCATATGACAGATGTTAAGAATTAGAAGAAAATACGAAACGACTGCTACATGTCTGGTCAGTAGAAATAATCCTATATTCTATAGTAAATAATATTTCATAGCATCGGAGAAGCCTACTAGCTAGTATATTTCAGTCTATGGTCATTATACAGGTTTTCGTTAGCACAGGTATGCAACACAACTTCATTTGCTTTTTATTCATATTTTATGTTGAGCCATATTTCTAATAATATTTCATAACACAGGAAAAGCCTACTAGCTAGTATATTTCAGTCTATGGTCATCATGTAGGTCTTCATTAGCACTGGTATTCAACACATCTTTGTATGCTTTTAATTCATATTTTATGTTGAGCCATATTTCTAATAAAAAAAACGTTTTTACAATAGTTTCTTCTTTCGTCATTTTCATCATCACCATGATCATTTTTTTTTCACCCTCATGATTGTCAAAAGCATTCACCATGCACGTTATCATCAGCAACATAATTTTCATATCCAGTTTTATTGCAAAAATGGGTCATATTGCAAAACTAGAACTCAGGGGTAACCGTTTTCACAATAGTTTAATAATTTCATTTTTTCAATTAAATTAAATTATTGCAAAAATGGTGGATATTACAAAAGTTTAACCCCGCGGGAACCATTTTTGCAATAACGGTCATCGTAAACAGCTATTCCAAAAGTGGAAAATCATCAACCACACTTGCAGTATTTCATCTCGCACCAAGTTATCGACCAAGGACAATGCAGAATCGCCAACAAACACTTGCTAATTTTTAGTCTTGAAATTGATTTTATTGAAAAGTCATCTTATATGACTTATCAGACTGCCTGTATAAACGTAATATTAATCTACATTGAAAAGAGCATGAACAATGAAAATGTTGTCATTAAACTCACCGAAAGAAACATGGCAGTTTTAGTAATGAAGT